AAGTGGTAATCGATCTCAACGGCCTGCTTCGTTCAGGCATGGAATACTGGATTGATACACAAATAAGTGGCACCCAAGTTGTCACACCATAACTTGGGTGCTGTAGCAGGTGGAAAGCCAATCTCCTTCAGCAACGAAACAAGCCAAGTAACTTCTGCAGACACATCAGTCAAAGCCTTATACTCAGCTTCAGTAGATGAACGAGCCACAGTCCGTTGCTTGTGGCACACCCAAGAAACCAAATTATTGCCCCAAGTTGACTGCAAAATCACTCGTAGACTTCCGGTCATCCGGATCACCAGCCCAATCCGAATCAGAAAAGGCATAAATAGCAACAGATGTAGACCGAGAGATATGAAGACCGAAATGTAAAGTGCCATTCACATAAGAAGACGCTCGCGCAGCAACAAATGTAGCAGGAACCCGACGCGAAGCATGCCATGTATACAAGCCCCCCGGAGAAGACCCTTTAAAAAGGACCTTTCCGGTCGTAATGTCCTTCACATAAAAACAAGAAGGATGAAATTCAAAGAAAACGTTATTATCATTAGCAAAACGCTGAACAGACAACAACGACAACGAAATACCAGGAACATGCAACACATCACATAACCTAAAAGAATTAGAATCAGTAGCTATCGAAGCGGGACCAACATTAACAATAGGCAAACCTGAACCACTGTCGACTCGTAGAGTTTCCGGGCTATCATAACTAGCTGCAGACGACATTACGGGGGCATCCGGTGTTGCGTGATTCGTGGCACCAGTGTCAGGAAACCATTGATGAGGGCCATCCGAACCGGTAGACTCCATAGAAAAAACCATGTTCGCCTGAGGATTCGACGAGTCAGAATAACGGCGGTAACACAAGAGAGTAGTATGGCCTTGGTTGTTGCAGATTTGACAACGAGACCCAGACCGAGAGCGCCCACGACCACGCCCCCGGTTCCCTCTTCCGCGGCCTCCTTGGCTCCACCACCGCGAGACTGCTGACCGCCCCCACGGCCACCGCGACCACCACGACTCGCCGCAAAATCAGCCGGTGCACCCAAGCCGCCACCGTCATCAGCACAAATCCACTCATGCGAAACCAAAAAATCAGCAACCTCCGTCAACGAAACTGGAGCACCTCGCGTCAAGGATGCCACCAGCGAGCGAAACTCCGGCAATAAGCCACGAAAGACGTAAAGGTTTTGATCGTCTAACGTGACATCCCGGTCGGCAAGAGCCAAATCCTCCACGAGCATTTGAGCGCGGCCAAGGTAGTCCGAGATCGATGAGGCACCCTGGCGAAGCCCCTGCAATTCTCCAAGCAAGTGTAACGCCCGGGCCCTGGTCGACGAGCCAAGGGACTGCTCGATCGCAAGCCGCAGCTGCCGAGAAGTCAATCGGCCGACCGCAAGGTGCATGGTCTCTTCAGAGAGGGAAGAGATGAGAAGCGACAAAATAGCTTTGTCTTGGGGTCGCTACTGCTGTCGCAAGAGCAAGTCCGAAGCAGCGACAACACCGCCGCTATCTGCAGTCGAGGCTACTGGCGGTGAATCAGCCGGGCACGGCAACGTTCCGTTGATGTATCCAAGGAGCCCTTGCCCCTCCAGGAACTGGAGCATATGCGTTCTCCAAGAGAGGAAGTTTCGGGCAGTCAATTTGAGAGAGACAAAGTGATGAGCCGACGAGAGACTGTCATCAACAGCGGGTTTAGGGTTTAGGGTTTAGGAATTGGAGCATATGCGTTCTTCAGGAGAGGAAGTTTCGGGCAGTCAATTTGCGAGAGACAAAGTGATGAGCCGACGAGAGACTGGCACCAACAGCGGGGTTAGGGAGAGCCTCGGTGACGGTCCGCTAGGTAGAGTAATGAACAGAGCCGTCATCATTCACACCGAGAACTGCCATGAGAGAAAATCTAGCTAACTGATACCAGATGAGGATATGAATATATAATGTAATATTAACCGATAGTCATATAAATGTATAGAGAGAGACTCCTAGTTTAATATAAGTAATAGAGTCCTAACAATATCCACATAAAGATTCACCAATGATTCCACTACTAGTATTATAGTCATTTGCAAATTATATCACAACTAAACCTAGCTTAGCTTAACAAATGTTTATTATGCCCATACATGATTATTGGTACCCATGCAGCTAATTCAATCACGACTTATTTGACTCTTTTAGTTCCTCGACTATGCCGTAATTACTAAATTGGTCATCGACTATCAATTTTGATCAATTAAATTTTCAATTATTGAATTTGTAACCGATTCGGTCCTCCATCAAACTTATCGAGGACCAATTTGGTAATTACAGAGGATCAAATCGGTTACGAAATCAATAGTTAGGAATTTAATTGGTCAACATTGATAGTTCATGATCAATTTGGTAATTACAGCATAGTCGAGAGACCAAAATGGTTATCAATTTTGCAATCACAAATTGGTATTTGTACATTCAATAAAAAAATATAAAATAAATTATACAAAATTAACAAGGCGAAACGATTTTAATGTGAAGTTTTAAAGGATTAAAATCATAATTTTTAATTTAATTTTTTTTTTTTTAGTGAAGTGAAATCACATTTCATTAAACTTTAGGTGGGGTAAGTAAATTGTACATTGTAGAGTTGGGGCTAATATAATTAGATAAAGTTTATAATAGATATATAGAATTTTTGAGTGTCATCTTTCATCCATGATTATAGAGTGTTTTATACTCAAGGTTGCAAAATACGTTATGCGCCTCCTAGGCATCGATTTTATTTTTATTTTTTTAAATGTAAAAAAAATAATAAAAATTATCAAAATTCACTAATAAAACATGAGGTTCTCAACGTTTTTTCTTACAAACTATTTATTTAAGTGGCTATAAAATTGTTTAAAATATTGTTGAAATCATCAAAATACATTATAAAAAAAAAAACAAAAATTAAGAGCAAAAGAAGTATTTTTTTAAGAAATACGCGATTTGTAAAAAATAATTGTCCACGGACAACCGAGTCAAAAGTTATGTTTTCGCAAAGTTTGTAACTTAAACCCTAAAAAAAAAAAAAAAAAAAAAAAAAAAATCACCGGTTCGACTAGCTAGGCGGTCTAGGCGGCCGCCTAGCCGCCCGACCGCGGAGGGGGTCGATTCTGGCCTTCCTTGCCACGGCCGGTGGCGCCTAAGCGCGATTTTTGCAACACTGTTTATAGTGAAAGAGAATGTAACATTCATAACAAGACAATCACGAATATATATTGAAAAGTTAAATCACGAATGTTTATAGTTAAGTCAATCTTGTGAGCCAAATTAATCGTGTACCTTCCAATCTAACAAATTCTATAAACTTCATTATATTGAAACAAATGTCGATCTTAATCTCAATTCACAATATAATATTGATGAGGACATGGGATTTCAGGGGTCCGAGCAAAATAAACAAAAGAGAAGAGAGAAGAAGTTCGGCGAAGTAAAACTGCCGACAGAATTCCCGTGACGGGGCGTGTCACGTCAGACTGGTGGCGCCCCACCGGCGAGCCAAGTGAAGGCAGCAAGGGCACTAGTGCGCCACACCAAGGCTTGGAGTAAAGTAGTAAAGGATGGAACCCAGGACCACTAGTATGACGTGTCCTAACCCACCAAGTCGCTCCATCTCTTGAATACTGAGGCGTTAATGCTTATATTTGTTCTGACTTTTGTGGGCTGACAGGTTTACAAACAATCGCCGACCGGGCGTGGCCTGCCGGCCACCTCCGTCCATGGTGCCCCATGGTGTGGCGACGGCGCCCCGCCGAAGGGGGGTGCAATATTAAAGATGTGCATGTGCGTGGCTAGGGTGGTGAAGACGTGCTGATGCAGACATAGGGATGGCATGGACACGTGGATGGTGGTCATGAAAGGTGAATCATCTCCGTCCGCTTGGCAAAACATGGCCTGGGGAGCCCTTGAACACTATAAAAGGGGGTGCCCTCCCTCCTTTAAGACACCACAGTCTGATCAATACAAGTGCCCTAGTCCAGTGGTTTCTTGTCCATTGTTTCAACCCACCCACCAAGGGTCGATTTCCATTAGCTACACTATTGTCCTTAGTATTTCCTAACCCGTTCTTTGGGGCTACAGCCGCCCCTCGTTAGGGCTGTTAACGAACCGAATATAAACGAACGGAGGTTGTTCGTGTTCGTTTGTCAACGTGAACATGTTCACGAACGTGTTCGTTAACGTTAACAAACATGTTCATTAATAAGCACGTTCACGAACATATTCATTTATGTTCATGAATACTTAATAAACAAACACATACACATAACAATAAATAGTATACGTTCACGAACAATAATCAAACAAACAACACAACTACAAAACTAATATAATATAATATATGTTTGTGAACATGTTCGCGAACATTATTAAACGAACACAAACGAGCTTGTTCACGAACATTATTAAACGAACTTGTTCACGAACATGAGTAAACGAACACAAACGAGCTTGTTCACGATCTCTTAGCAAACGAGCTTACAACTGTTCAAGCTTGTTCGTTTATTAACCGAGCTCTAAATTTTGTTTGTTAATGTTCGTTTACCTTAACAAACGAACATAAACGAACGCTTACCGAACACGAATACGAGTAGTTTGTCGAAAGCTCTGTTCGCTAACACCCCTACCCCTCGTAATAAAGTTAGTTACTACTTTCCTACCCTGTTCTGTACTTCTATACCCGATTTACGGACAAAACCATCCTATATGATTTTCCCCACATTGATCCTCATATCTTGTTTGTCACTTAATTTTCACTCGCTCATACAAGTTTGAGGTAGCGTTTTTAGAGTAATTTCACGTACAAGCTAGCTTTCTTAAAACATTATTTTTTTCATAAAGTAAAGATATAATTTATGTTTGAAATAGATGAGATGGAATGGCAAAAAATGAAAGTGCAGTGGCTTAGGACTAGTTTATACGTACAGTTAATGAAAGATGAGAGCTTTTTAAAGCTCTGATCTGCTCTCAAGTATTACATATATAATCAAAAATGGTGCTCGATTAATAATCAAGCCTCTGATTCAATATGGACTACTAAGTATGCAGACTTACAAAAACAACAACAAACAAAAAAAAAAAGAAAAAGAATATGGTGACGTCTAATTTGCTTCATTCAATTCCGGCCTCCAATTGCAGGCTTCAAGGAATTGAACGTACAGTATATTGTTTGTTGGGTTGGTTCTAATCAAGTGTCCTCTGCAAAGGCTTTGAAGATATAATCACGAAAGCGCTTGGAGTAAGCCTTGGGATCGACGGCTGAGATGGAGTTTGGATCATATTGGATGGACTTGTAAGCATGCTCAAGCTTCTTGGTGATATCATAGTCTTGAAGGATGTCTATGATACTAAAGAAGAGGATTACGTCGTAGCATTCTCCTGTTGGCTCTCCTATTAGCTGCATTTCTCCAGCTTCGTTTTTCCTCTCTGTCCTCTCCACTCTTGCAGGCAGGTTTATCCCCAGTTTTATCATCCCTCTCCTGCAGTTACGTTACTCATCATTAATATAATCTGGAGTTTCATTCTGATGCATATATAATGTTCTGTTCTTGGAGATGAGATGAGATGCATACCCTTGAAAAGACTTTTCCAAATCTGCTCGAGATTCGGAATCGGAGGCGCCACCATCTGCACATGATATGATCCAGGAGCTAGTATTTGGGAGAATGTAAATCAGGATAACTAAAATACATACGGGATACTGAACCAATGAGCTAAACCTGTTGGGGAATGGGAACCAGAAAGTGGTTCATTTTCTTCATTGGTTGATGCTTCTTTGAAATGAACACCAACCAGAAGGCTGTAGTCCATGATTCTCTCTTGCTCAAGTAAGTCACAGTCCTTGTCTACTTGCCTGCATTAATTGCATGCAATGCAAGTTACTTTCCTTTCTCAGAAGGAAATTACAATCTCAGATTCATTGTATTATTGATACCTACTTTTGGAATTCTTGAAACCATAGCTTCTGTAACCTGAAAATGAAGTTGAGATCAAGGTCTTTGAGAGTTGTGGTTGAATCAATCTCAGATTCTGGCTTGTCTGTCAACCGCCCGAATGTTGATCCTTTCAGGTCGAATCGCCTGTGAATCGTGTAGTCCGTGTGGAATAGATTCCCCATTATCACAAACCGCACCTAAACCCCCCACCATCCATCAACAAATAATGCATGTTATAATATATGGAAAATGAATGATCTGAAGCCAATATAATGCAGGTTTGGTGGATGGGTGTTTTTACCTTCTTGGCTGCCGGTCCGTTTAGCTTTAGACAATGCAATCCAAAGTATTTGGTGATAAGGGTGTTATCAAAGTCAAGAACATGATTATAATACGCATTTAGCATCCTTATTAGCACCTATATAGAAATAATATAAGCACCATCCATCCACCACATCAAAATTCATAATTTTATATATTCAAGAAATGAAATTTGTATATATAGGAATAGGAATTAATTAGATCCAAATTAAATCTCACTTTCACTTCAGCCTTCTTCATTGTTTTGATCATGTAACGATCATCGTTTGTGAGGTAAAAAAAGCTTCCACTTTTCCCAGGAGAGGACAGCTCCCTCAGAGCATCATTCCCACATATGGAGCTGATGTAGTCTTCTGGTTCCACCTTAAACAACAACCTTAATGCCCTGTATATATATACCTCAATTATATTAGCATCATCAAAAGTCAAAACAAATCCATGTACTTGAATTGGAGCATATATACCTGAAAACTTTAGGACAGTAATCCTTCCATCTAAACTCACAGGACTGAAATGGCAATACACTTTTTGTTCCATCAGGTGAAATCTTAGTCCAAAACTTCTCCTTTGGATCGAACGCTGCTGCCTTCAGATCTAATGATGTTGCAGCACCAAGCTTCCCAACAGAATACCTATACATATACATATACATATACATTCACACACATATATATATTTTCATTTCAAGAAATTAAAACATATAGCCCCGAGCATAGCTCGGGGGTGAAAGCCTGTCCCAAGGGATAAGATCAGATCCTGGGAAATAAGCAAGCACTCAGATCACTGTCCCACGTCTGGGGATTTGAATTTGGGGCCCTAAAATTAGGAATTAGAACAACATATGTAATAATAATAATATTGTCTCACTTGATCCCTAGCTGCAAATTGAGCATTAGTTCATAACTCTTGTGGCCTTTAGAGATGGTCTCTCCCTGCTTCTTTACAATCTTGGGAATCCTGAGAGGGCTCCCCTTTATAAACCCACCGGCGGTGACCTCTTCCTGCGACTGCAACCCCACGAATGTGTCGTCCGGGGTGCAGAATATACTGGTCGGCGTTCCGGAACAATCCGACAACCGCATTCCGGCGAACTCCTTATCCACAGCCGCGTCCAGTCGTCCATCCGCCGACATTCTCCTCTGCCTCGTCGTGCTATCCGTCTTTGCGGTTTTCCAATCCGCCAGCTTTTGGGATGGGAAAACTGAGATTTTGTCAATGGGGCAAACTTTGCATTCCTTCAATTCCACAGTGTAAACGTCGGCGGGATTCCATTCTGGATGGTTGTTTTCGGTGCTTTCTTCTTCTCCTTCTGGCGTAGTATTGGCGGCTGGGTGGTGAGTTCCGGTGTGTTCGCCGGTTTCTTTATTCCAGGTTCCGACGTAGTAACTCCCATCTGCCCATCTGTAAGTCCCGTTCCCTCTGGGCCATCCGTCTTCCCAAAAGCCTTCGTACATGTTCCCATTGGCCCAGTACATGTTCCCTCTGCCGGAAATCTTGCCGTTCTTCCATTCTCCGACGTAGTAATTCCCGTTTTTCCAGGTGTATCTTCCCTGTCCTTCCTGCAATCCCCGGCTCCATTCCCCGTTGTAGCTGTCGCCGTTGGTGTATTCCTTCACCCCGAGTCCATGCCTCATGTTCATCACCCATGACCCCCTGAAGGTGTCGCCGTTGGGCCCCGTGTAGGTCCCCTCGCCGTCCAAATACCCGCTCTTGAAATTGCCGTCGTACACGGCGCCCGACGGCCAGCTGAAGGTGCCCCTCCCCATCGGCTTGCCGCGAAACCATTCTCCCACGTACATGCACCCGTCCGTCCACCAGTACTTGCCGGTCCCGTGGGGAGCCTCGTCCGCCCACTGCCCGGTGTAGTAATCGCCGTTCGTCAGAAACTTATCGGCGTGATACACTTCTCCGTTTGATGTATGCATAACCTGCATGGCCGCCATGCATGCAATCAATTTATGATCAAAACATTTTGGTATATATAAATGAAATGAAATGAAATTACGTACCACTTCGTTAACGTTATCAACGTCTTGATCCTCGTCGTTCAATTCCTCCACAGTGGTGGCGCCATAGGTGCCGAAGATGGTGTGGGCTCGTCTCCTGGCCACGGCCTGCGTTTTCCTCACCGTTGCCTCCCACGCTTTCATGTTGATGACATAGATTTCCTCGTATGGTCTCTCTTTTGCAGATCAGATCAGATCTTCTTTGTCTTCTTCTTAATTGGGAATAATGAATGGATTATTTGATTTGGGTGAAATTTTCAACAATCTACCCTGGCCTGTGGATAATAAAGTTTATTTATTTATTTCATTTTTTATTTAGTTTAATCTGCATTGTTCAACTACGTACAGCCATGCAGAAGGCAGAAAAACACTCCTGTCTTCCATTTTTTCTTTGTCTCTCACCGACTACTTCGCCTTCTCCACCTCCTATCTCTCCGGAATATGTAATGGAGGAGCATTCACATCATTTCTCTTCTTTTTTCTTTTTTCTTTTTAATTTCTATTTTATTTTATTTCACCCCGATCCATTTTTTTAATTATCATAATTGTAAGCCTCATGATCACAATTGCATTGATTTCCAGTAATTCTAAATTAACATACTATTGCATCTTACATACATAACTTGAAATAATTATTCCTACAGCTCTATATATTAAAGCGCAAGTAAAACAAATTAAATTAGCGTGTGGTTCATGTAATTAAACAGAATTAAAGTAATAATGTTATATATATATATATATATATACATATATTGGCTCTGGTTCAGGTGAGAACCATTGTTTGGGTGTGAACATGTGAACTCCTATATGCACCGTTGAGATGTGAGATTAGACGGCAAGATTTGAGGATCGGTGCAGTACATCCGGTGCAATTGTGCACTAGTGCAGTAATGTATACTTACCAAGTTAAAATCATTATAAACCACAAGATCGAGCAAGATAAACGATGCACAATGGTACACAGGTTCACATGTTAATAGAGGTTCTTAGATCATTTAAACCTAATTTTCTCCCGTTCAGGTGGGATCCACTGTTTGGGTGTGAACCTGTGAACTCCTATAAACAATTGATATGTGAGATTAGACGGCCAAGATCTGAGGATTGGTGCAGTGGTGTATGCGGTGGTGCAGTTGTGCAATGATGTATACTTACCAGGTCAAAATCAATATATATATATATATATATATATATATATATATATATATATATATATATATATATATATATATATATATATATATAGTTTTTAGAATGGTCTAATTTGAGGTTATTTTAATAATGTCATTTTTTTTAATGTGATTACCTAAACTGAACAAGAGATCAGACTTCATTTTATGGGGTCAGCAAACTCAACGTACATGTAACTACTTGTGGTTCAAGTAAGAGGGGTTTGTTTCCCTTTAATAAGTTATTGAAATTTGATTTCATCAAAAAGAACTGTAGTATCAAAAAATTATAATTTAATTTAGGTAAATCTTATTTTGATTGTATAAATTAACTAGTAATTCATCAGTGTGATGCAAGAAATATATTACTCCAATCCGTATATATTTACAAATTTTAAAAATAATAACGTCAAAATTTATATCATTTATAAATATTAAAGAAAAAAAAAACATTGATAATAAAACAATTTATATAATTATAATTTTTAATTTTGTTTACAAATAACTTTAGCATTTGTTGCAACTAGTTGATAATGACTTAACAATTGAGAATGACAATATAGTAAAAAGATTTATTTACTCTTTTTTGGGTGCTTCAGAAATCAGAAGGCCCTTGATGGCTTGCAGTTAAAATATTCTCAAATATTGTACTAATGTCAAATAATTTGTCTCAATAGTCTCACCAATATAATCTTGATTATTTCAAATAACTCTTAACACATAATACGTGTCGCGATAGATATTGTACTGAGCACCATTAATTCTAGGTGTGAGTAAGGATTTATCAAATTCAGTCTCATCGTTCCATCTGCGTCCACTTAAAGTGAACGGAATACGGATCTATTTAATGAAAATCTACCACTAATAGAATAGGTGTGAATGTGACTTATCAAAATTCACTATATTCAATCCGCTATAAATATAGCCTAGTAGTCCACTGTTAAGTATATATCCTGCAATGGATATGACGTAGTTAAATCTAAAATTATAATTCAATTTTAATTATTTTTTTTATACTTAGCATATAATTTTTGGTCACTCTTCCTCAATTCATCAATTATCATTTCTTACTTTCCTCCATTATTCTTTAAGCCAAATTTGTTACTTTTCACGTGTCACAATCACAAGTTTAATAGTGTTGAAGATGAATGAATATTTAAAAATGAATGAAGATTTGCAATTTAGATTTGTTTGTATTTTAAATTGATTATTCGTATTTTAAAATTTGATATTTAGTTTTTCTTTTTAATGGCCGTGGATGCTTGAAAAATAACTGTGACTTTGATTTTTGAAAACTTCAAATCTTGTATTATAGTTTACTAATATTAACCTAACAGGGTAACTCAAGTGGCAAATAAGCTCTCTTTGTGGGAGAGAATTTTGGTAAACTTGGATTCAATTTTCATAAGTGATGATTCCCTTTGGGCCAGCTCATGTGCCTCTCGAGCGAACCGGATGGACCTGGACCATTAAACGAATAGAGAAAGACCCTACTAATATTTGTTTTCTGATGTTATCCTTGCTTGATTTCGATTTATACAATTTAAATTTATAAACTTAATTGACAAAAAGGTATAACATTTCTCATCCGGACGACTTAAACAATGCAAATGTCCAATGGTTTGTCTCAACATTTTCATGAATATATTATTAATACTATTGAACACCATGAACTCTTCAATGGTTACTGTATTGAACACCATGAGCTATCTTATAAAAGCATAACTTTAACCCCACAAATTCATAACATTAACTCCACAAATTAAGCTAAACAAATATCTCAAATGATACACTTCAAACGAACTTAATTATTATGTTGTATATATTTTGGTTTCACTTAAAGATATTTACTTTGACACTTCCAAAAATGTAAAATTAGAATAAATGTGGCAGTAGCCTGGTGAGTCATTTAATTTAATTTTTTTAATCAAATCATTAAATTCAATTCACTGGGAATAAAACATAGTAACTTCATGTTGGCAATCTTTTTATATGTGATAATATATCAAACGTATATCAACATACAAAGAATGTAATAACTTATAACAAAGACTTAGCTAAGTATGGATTCCATTAAATACCAATGAAATATACAAATTGGGAACATATGCACAAAAATTTAGTTCTAAAATAAATCATTGAGCTTGCAATATATGGTTCTAAAATAAGTTATAAATGTCATATGTAGATAATCTGCCTTAATTAATACCAATTGTTTAATATTGTTGGATCCATTTATATATCATTAATTTAATTATTTACTGTTCAATTATTGCAAAATTTTGAGCTACACTTATATATTGTTATTCAGTAAGTATAACAATATATTGTTGTCAACTACTATTTTTTTTTATATAGTAAAATAACGCCCTGTAATTTTAATCTACATTATGAATAACCGATTTTTTTTTTATTTTTTTTATTTTTTATTTTTTTTTTTACAAAATCTTCCTTATATTCATATTCATTAGATTAATAATAAAAGGGATAAGGGTCAAATAGACCCTTGAACTATTGATGAAAGTGCAATTAGCCCCCTCAACTACAAAAAGCTTCAATTAGGCACTTAAACTTTAAAGAAAAATGCAATTAGACCTTTTTACAGGTTACCATCAGGTAATGGGTTAAAATTAGTTGACATGGCATCCACATACATCCCAATAAAAAATTAAATAATTTTTTTTAATTAATTGCTGCCGTGGCAGCTTGGTAGCCAACCAGCTGCCATGGCAGCGTTGTCTTCTTCCAGTTTGGAAGAAGATGCTTCGTCTTCTTCCAGACTGGAAAAAGACGGTTGAGCTGCCATGGCAGCCATTAATGGCTGCAATGGCAGCATTTATTTAAAAAAAAATTGTCTAAAAGAACATGCAACAACATCAAAAGGCTGCACAGAGAAGTGGATGGGCTGCGCTCTGTGAAAGGCTTTCGGATACTTTCCTCCATTGACACCATTAATCTTGATTTGGAAACCTTGATGAAGAATCTTCTTCAGCAATAAATTCTGAATTTAGAAAGAGATAATGCATGATAGATTATCTTTCAATTCAATGCATGGTAGATTATCATTCAATTCAGTCAAGCAAAAAACTAACAGTCATTATTAATATAATGTGAGTTGTAATTTCACTGTAAAATTATGTGTATGTAAAATTATCCCTTTTCTGTATTAACTATTAAGATTGTCGGCGGCAATTCTCAAACAGAATCATAAGAATTTTGGGACTTACAACACCTGAAATATGAATCCGACCTCGAATTTTCAAGAATATATGTTGGTGATTTCTAATCATTGATTGAAACCCATATTAAGGCATGAACAGTACAGGGATAAACAACAAATTCTTTAAAAAAAAATTAATAAACGCTGCCATGGCAGCCATTAATGGCTGCCATGGCAGCTCATGGAAGAAGAAGACGAAGCGTCTTCTTCTAAACTGGAAGACAACGCTGCCATGGCAGCTTGGTTGGTTACCAAGCTGCCATGGCAGCAACTAATTAAAAAAAAAATTTTAATTTTTTATTAAGATGTAAGTAGATGCCAAGTCAACTAATTTTAAGTCATTATTTGATAGTAACCTGTAAAAAAATCTAATTGCATTTTTCTTTAGAGTTGAAGTGCCTAATTGAAGCTTTTTGTAGTTGAGGGGGCTAATTGCACTTTCATCAATAGTTCAAGGGTCTATTTGACCCTTATCTAATGCGTAGAAATAATTTTAGAACATTATGGCTTCTCGAATTATGAATTCTTTTCCATTTTTCTTTTTTTACTGCTAACCTTATTATTATTAAATGTTTGGGCGGGAAATTAAAATGGAGAATTTCTTTTTTAATAATAGTGTAGAGTATAGAATATAGATTATTAATAACCAATTCTTTTCCAATTCTTTTTGGCAAAATCTTGCTTATATTCGTTAGATTGATAGTAACATAACATCATGTAATTTTAATCTAAATTATTAATAATCGATTCTTTTCTTTTCTTTTCTTTTTCTTTTTTTTATTATTATTAATTTTTTTGCAAAATCTTCCTTATATTCATATTCATTAGATTAATAGTAAAATAACATGTAGAAATAATTTTAGAATATTATGAC